AATCTCAAACTTTCAAAGCTTTAAATGCTGAAAAAGATGTTTGAATTTAAATACCAAATATTGACCTTGTGAAATGTGTGGAGATTTTGAGCAGGTTGTTTGTTCAGGAGCCGTAAAGTAAATATTGGTGAAAGGATCAGCAATAGCAAGTATCACGGTTGTCATTTTGGCCCAAATAAGCCGATCGATGCCTGTTCATCAGTATTTTCCAGTGGTTAACAACGCAATGATGACCCCAAAACACAGGTAATGTTAAATTGGGAGACCGCAAACAAGAATTATACGAAGGTGAGAAATAATTTCGTTTCATGAAGAGCCCCATTGGCCGGTGACCTTTTGCACTGCACGCGGTTAAGTAATTAACAGAGAACGCAGAGACAATGCTAGCGCACGCTTGCTCTTCGTTCTGTGCCAAGTCTTTGAAATTCTTTCAACAAGCCATCTGCTTTGATTTTCTGGTGCCTTCGATTCGTTAGGGAACAAAACAAGGTATTCCAGTTGAGTAAATCACCAGTCTAAAACAAAATAGAGACACGATGTGCTCGGTTTGTTTTCGAAGTGCTCTACCCGCAACAGACATCTGCCGTTAAAAACAACCTGTGGCGATTTTCCAAAACACGTTGTGTACAACGTTACCTTGATAGATGACCTTAATCTTTATCTTAATTGACTTGTTTATCAATTGATTTCATTTTAACCCCTTCAGGCCCATCATATTTCCCATCTAGACACACACGAAGGGATTTTTTCACGCTCACCAGCAAGAATCAGCAAACAAGTTAAGACAGTACCAACTCTCTTATCACAATACTATCCATCTGGGCCTAGTTGTTCAAAGAGCGGATAACACTATCCAACGGATAAATCGCTATCCAGCGGATAAGCTTTAACAAAACGTACTGCGCTATCCACCGGATAGAGATTTTATTTAGTGAATAGCATTATCCATCCTTCGAACAACGGGAGCCTGATCTACATGTTGTGTTAAGTATTGAGGAGCCTGATCAAAATAACATTTTCTTTTACCAAATTGTTCAACTTAAGTTTTGTCTATTCACACAACCTTTAAATGACATTAGTTGAGCGGACCCCAATTTTTGTGCATCGGCTAAAATTAAATGATTTAAACCTGATCCGAAAGCTGCCAAATGCACCCGTGGGATAAGTGTATTTAACATAACTGCTTGTTCTATCATTTACACACCGGTAGACGATTAAAAAAAAAACCGTTCCATTTTGGCTGCGACTCTGGAGATTTTTGAATCTGGAGTTTAAAGTAAGTACTCAGTTTACATCCGAATACTTAACAATCCGACAAATTTTGTAGTGAAAACGATTTTCCATGTATTCGAATATTTCTGCGATTTCTTGATTTTACCTTTTCTCATTCTTTTGCCTTCGGTCATGAGATAATCTGCTTCTAGTTACAGAAACCAGTTTACAAAACCTTTGCCATTTTCTGGTTGCCTGGAAACCCTTCATTATCCTTTAAGAGTCTTTTACGAAGAATGCGAACAGCCTCCGGGCTTGGAAAAATTTCAAGTTATTTCATTACATGTTGAACCAAAACAGTTGTTGCGACTTTAGAATCCATTCTGATTAAAGTTAATGATATGGGACGGGCGCCAATCGAGCTAGAGTTTCGGCAAGCACTTTCGCCGGTTTTTCCAATGTTTAAAAACAGTTTGGAATCGGAATGCCTCCCTATCAAAATTTCTATGGATACAAAGACCATATACGCGGTATGGTCTTTTTGAAAGCGGTAAACCAAATCAGTAATTCGTAATCAATCTGGAACGGTTTTGTGTCGGATTTGTTTTGCTTTTTGCACACAGTTGATGACTCCATGGAAAAAAAAAACGTTTCATCTGGCCCAACGCAACTCCAGTGAATTACAATGCAATAGAATTAACACCGTCCCTGATACCCTGCGGCCGTAATTCTCAAGTTTAGTACGATATTTCTCCTTAAGCTTTACAGTGATACATAGTTTGCTAAGGTTTGAATTAAAATTAGCTCCGCCACAGTTCTTACAAAAAGTGTGCTTTTTTCAGGTGAACCCCCTCCCCCCTTAATGACTACAACACGTGTTAGTTTAAGTGAACTGTTTTCGTCAATTTTAAAATGGCAAACACTTGAAAGCACGTTTGGAGCAGACCAAAGTTCTAGACATTGAAAATAAAAACAAACAAAAAAAAAACAGACTCGTCTAGATACGTGGTCTCAGATCCCTGAGACGTGGAAGACATACCGGCCAAATGGTTAGCACGCTGAATCCCGCCGGATTTGGAGCCCCCATTTCGAACCCCCTGGGCCCGTTTTTCGAAAGTTCCGCCATAAACGCAGCTACATCTTAAAATCTAAGGGACCAGTTATGATTTATTGCCTATGTGGTCGGAGGATTTTGGTTGTGTCACCTGATGCCCCTCTCCTCCACCAAAGGCTCTGTAGTAGTCTTTTGATTCCCCCCCCCCCACATTGTCAGTCAATTTTCTTTTAGTTCCTCCTTTAAACTCCGTTAGCGGCGGCTGCTAACCCATCTGCTCTCCCTGAAAACCATGTGTTCCTCCTGAAATTCTCCACCCCCGCCATGTACTTCTCTTCCTCTCATTAAGAGATAGCTCAGTTGGAAACCCGTTTCGATGATAGTTTATCGAGGTAGGTAGGGACCGTGAAGGCAAAATGGAACACGGCTGCTTTAAGGAAAGATAGATAGATAGATAGATAGATCACTTTATTTATACACGGTAAATTCCACTCAGTCGTATACAAGCAATATACCTACAGATGTAAAACTTAAAACTATATAATCATTATAAAATATATACAAAGATTAAAAGCCTAATCTAAACGAACTGAACCAACTTCTTATTAGATTGAAAATAAATGAAAATAAAAGTACTGCTTTTCAGGGACGCCGTGTCATTAGTTCACTCCAAACTGAAGTTACTTAGCTTCGTCTTAAACTCACCTAATGTTTTAGATACTCTATTATCAGTCGGAAGGCTATTCCACAACGCGGCACCGCTATAAGAGAAACTTTTACGAACATAATCGGTACGAGGGTGCGGAAGAGCCAGCCTCATTTCACTATTTCGCAATCTATAACTAGTAGTATCATTACGAAAGATGAATTTATTTGATAAATAATCAGGTGTCTGTCCATTTAGAAGTTTGAACATCATAACGGCTTTGGCAAAAAGCCTCTGATTCCTTAGGTTTCTCCAATGAAGTCTACGGAACAGGTCTCGAGCACTAGAATCATAAGGTGCGGACAACAATATACGAGCCGCACGGTTCTGTAGCTTCTGAAGTTTTTCGGCCAGACTTGTACAACAGCAATCGTATACTAAGCTGCAGTAGTCAAACCGGGGCTTTACCAAACCATTGAAGATGTTCAAAAGAGTGTAGAATGGTACAAAATCTCTAATGCGCTTAATTATACCCAAAGCTGAAGAAATTTTCTTACAAACAGTTTCAATATGTGTATTCCAACTTAAGTTTTCATCGATAGATACACCGAGAGAATTTGTTGACGAAACCAGCTGCTCAATGGGAAAATTATTAATGGTAAGAGACGGATTGTCTGACAAGTAAACTCGCCTTTGCCTTTAACTTATTATTAAGAATTCGGTCTTAGTCAGGTTCAATGTGAGTTTATTAGAAGACAACCAGGTATTAACAGATTTCAAATCTTTGTTAAGAATTTCGTTTAAATCTTTGCCAGCGTAAGTAATGCTGGTATCGTCAGCATACATTCGAGGATGAGAAAATTAAGGCACTGAGGTAAATCGTTAACATAGAGTAAGAATAAAAGCGGGCCCAGAATCGTGCCTTGAGGCACACCGCAATTAAGGAACTTTGGCGTCGAGTTAGAACAATCAATTAGGCAGATTTGTGTTCGGTCAACTAAATAGGAGCGAAACAAACGCAAAGCTAGTCCACGAATTCCGTACGAACGAAGCTTAGATAAAAGAATCTCATGATCGACTGTATCAAATGCCTTCTTTAAATCTAAGAAGACAACAGCATTGATCAATCCACGGTCTATATTAAGGGCTCAGCTATCGGTTGCCTCGAGTAGAGCCGTAACCGTCGAGTGTAACGAACGGAAACCGGACTGATGTTTGGAAAGAAGATTATACCTGGTAAGATGGACAAACAGTTGAACATAGATTATCCGCTCAAAAACTTTTGCTACCACAGGAATTACTGAAATGGGGCGATAATTGGATGGATCATTGCGCTTGCCCGAATTTTTGTAGAGAGGGGAGACTCTAGCATTTTTCCAATCATTCGGAAATACACCTGCTTTAAATGATTGATTAAATATCAATGATAGCGACTCACAGATTAAATCGGGGCATTCCTTCAGGAGTTTGGCAGGGATATTATCGGGACCAGTTGCTTTGGATCTGGAAAGTTTCGATAAAAGCGAATAAGCATGTGCAGGGGTGGTTTCACAAAAGGTAAACAGTTTGTCAGTTTCGATAAGAAATTCGGAATAGCTAACGGCCGCCTCTGCAACATCCTTACTAAGATTTGTACCAATTTCCGAGAAAAATGTATTGAAGATCTCCGCAGCTTCCAACGAGCTCTCCGATTTTTGGCCACAATATTCAACTTCATTTAGAATTGTTCTGTTTGATTTACGACAAGTTAGTTCATTAATGGTTTGCGAGAGAAGTGAAACACGAAGTTTAAATTAAAAACAAAACCGTGAAACAACAACAACGACAAAAAAACTACATTAGAGTAAAGAGAATCTAACTTTTTTCAAGTTGCAGGAAAACCTCAGCGCATAATGAATTGTTGGAAATAAATTAACCCGTTGAGAGGCACATAAAAATAATTGTATCGACCGCACTCAAAGGGTTTTGATTATCACTTTTCTTCTCCCGGGCTGAGTCCCAGGCATGGCACGGCCCTACTAATATTCCCCTTGTCTTTATAGCTCCCAGGATCTCTCAGCTGTCTTGGCTCCAGGGTATCTCGGGCATCTCTCTATTTCTTACCCGCCCGCGTTCCCGTCCGCCATGTTTTTCTAGCGGATATTTTCATAGGGCACGCGCTACCAGCAACCAAAATCCAAAATGGCCGAATTGGTGAGTGGCTTTGATATTCAACTTTTACAATAATTTCTATTTCCTAGGAGTGTTCTTACTAGTTTAAGACTGCTACAAAGAAGCTCCAAATGTTTTTTAATACGTGTCATGAACCTAAGCCTCTGAGAACTCCCTCGATATAATCTCTATTTCTAGTGTGTGTCAAGGAAAAAATTTTTTCGCTGTGTCATGTGCTGCTGTGAAACTTGTAAATGTTACGTTTTGAATAGAAAACCTGGTCCCTAATAGTTTGTCACGACAAGGGAGTCCACAAAAAAATGATTTGCATATTATTGCGTTCAAGGACATCTTTGACGATTCTCGGGTTTTAAATTTCTAAAGCACACGCGCCATATATCAGGGCCTGTCTGTCGAAAGGTGGCTAACATTAATCTAGGATTAAAGGTTGTCGAATATACAGAACCATATATTAAATGTACTTTTCCTGAGGTTTCATCTTAATTTACACAAAAATGTGGTGAAAAATATATAATTTAGCAGGAAAGTTCCTACAAAGATACTACTCAACTAAATCAAAACGTTAACACCTCAACTCTCACTATCTGGTTCTTAACTCTTCCCTTTAGCTACTACAAATTTCTTTTTAAACTAGTTACAAGAATTTGGTGTTAGATCAAGATAACTTCAAATCATGAAGCTTGAGTATTCTCATTACCAGTTTGCTGGATATTGTAGGGATATTATAGGGAGAAGTTGGATGTTCATCATTTCTGGGAGTTCAAGGGTTAATCTAACCCAGAGTTGTAGCTTAATCATGATTTTAGCCAGCTCAGAATCATAGCTTTTTGTACATCAGGGCCCAGTTGTTCGAAGGCCGATTAGTGCTAACCCAGGGTTAAATTTTAATCCAGGTTTCTATATTTCTCTGTTCAAAAGCCATTTTGGGATAATTTTCCCAATTCTTTTAAGAGAATTCAATCATCAAATTGTAGACAAATGGAATTAAACTGAATTTTCTTCTAAAGCTTTCAGATCTGAAATCAAATTTCACACTAACCCTAGGTTATCTTAACCCATCTTTTAACAACTCGGCCCAGATGAATAGTGAGGGGTAGTACTGTAAACCATGCACACATGGGTTGCAGACTTTTGGTCATGTTGCATGCAAAGTATACAGCTGATTTTTCATGGTGAAGAGCTGCCATACTCTGTAGACTGGCAATAGTTTTTCTGGATACTTGACTCCGAAGAATGACTGCTCTGTTTTCAATTGAAGGATTCATTGTTATTATATTTTACTTTCTCCATTGTGTAGTCTGCTCTTCCTGGCAAAGTCCAACCCATTACAGAAGTGAGTTCCTCTGTCAATAGCTATGGTGTACCAGATCAAATGAGAACAGGGTAAGAGTACATGCAGCTTTGTCAATCTTTGCATTGCAATTTTTAAGACAGCATTTACAACTAAAAATGGAGAAAAACATGGATACATGGTGAGAAAGTTTAGCCATGAGTAGGGTGTGGAAAAGAATGGTTGACCTCTTACAAACCAGACCATCTTGTAACAACATAGTGGAACCTATACTACACTGTAAGTGCATGTTTTGTATTGAGGAAACACCAACCAATGTCCCAATTCTGCCAGCCAATGTTTACTGCAATAGGATCCTGTATTGAGCAGGTACTTTGGTCTGTTTAATGGTTGTGGAGAATTTGTTTTAATTAAAGGAACCCTTTCAGACATTTTTTACTGGAAATCAAAATTTTAAGAGGCATTTTCATCAAAAACCTGCCATTGGGGCATTATTTTCTTATGCCTTGAAATCAATTTCCTTAAAGTTCTTTTCATGCAAATCAATTTTTTTTATGTATTTATTACATATTTTGTGTTTTCAAGGTTCTCCAATGTCAAGAGTGGATTAACAATAAGCCATCCTTTAGAGTGTACTGAGAAAAATGTAAGTCAGTGGAAGATGTCATTACTCATCTTATTTTATGGTAGACTGTTGCCAGCCCATGCAGAAGACTAGAGATGTTTGTAGAGTTGTACAGTGCACTGTTCATAGATAATTTCTGTTTATACTGTACATTTAGTATAATTAATTGTGACATTTTCAGTAAATTATTTGTAATTACTAAAATGTTTTCACCAAGTGAGTGATTACTTGGCTAATTACTTCATGCTATGCTGGGATAAAATGCTACTTGGCTGGAGTACAGACTTTACAGACTCTCAAATCAGTAAAACATTGGAGAGGCACAGTACAATATGTAGGTTGTTGAGATTTCTCTAGCTTTGCCTTCTTTCTTTAATGTGAAACAAATATTTATTTTTTAAAAGCTGAAAATAGCATACACTGTACAATTTTATTACCACCATGGCTGATCCATCACATTTTCATAGACTTAGTCATATTTGAAGCTTCTGCTATTTTGCTGCACATGGAAGTCTGCCTAGCTTGGCTTTATAACTGTCTAGTGTGTATATATTTTCACCAGTTTCTTCAAAATCAAGAATTGCTTGACTTCAAGATGCTAAGAAATACACAAGGTCTGCAAGCCCCTTTAAAACTACAGATGGAAAGAGCTGTTGCATCCAAGGTATTAAAGGAACACAAAAGACCTTACTTCTACCATTAATTTTTCATGTGTATCCAGTTACAAATACAGTAGATTGAACAGTGACAAGGAAGTGATTCAATAGTCTTGTTCACTGTCTTGAGGTTAAGAATTGTTGTCTTCTGATTCTAACTTTTAAATTCATGCTCTTGTCAACACAGATCCAGCGATTGCCTTGTCTGCCCAGCTCAATGGTTGCTTTAGATTCCCTTATGGGCACCGATGAAAGCATTGGATTTGATGACTTCCTCAACGGTGAGAAATAAAATTTTCTGTAACCCACTGTTAATGAAGCAAAAGTGTTTGTTTAATGTCCTGAAGACATAAGGTAGAAGAAACTGGAGTTAGTTGTTTTTTTTTTTTTCTTGGAAAGTTTCAACTAAATCACTCAGCCCAAGGAATTTTGAACTTATACACATGATTAGTTATTCCTTGAAGTTGTTGGTGAATGAACAATGCTACATTGTAAACTTTGTGGAAACAATTTTGAGCTCTTATAACAATGGAGGAAAAGACAGGTGATAAAAACTTACTGACAAAGCAAATGAAAGATTTGGTAGTCTTTTTTGAGATAGAGCAGGTTTGAAAAATTGGAGTTTAGGAAATCACTTTTTTTTTCAGTTGGCAGAAAGCTGAAGTAAGTTTTACTCGTGAAAGGTTTAGTGTCTAAACTTGGCTTCACCTTAAAACTCTTTTGTCTTAATGCATAATCACCTAGGTGAGAGTAAAATTTGATTGTGTTTTGTATTTATTTATTTCCAGTTCAAGGTGATTTGGAGGTCATGTCAGATCCCCATCTCACTATGGAATACAAACTTGGTCTTCACTGAATTCTCTTTTGACTTTATAACTGCCCCTTTCCTTATACAAGTTAAACTTAGCAGATACTTTGTAATTACCTGGGAAGTTTATTTTGCTGTGAACAAGTTGCTGCAAAGTCACTTCAGGGAGTAGTTGATAAGCTTTTCATACACTGGTTAGTTTATTTCAATAAAACAATATTTAACCCTTAAACTTCCAAGATCCAATTAGATACTGCAATTCATTTCCTTGTAAGCGAAACAGGAGAATTCCATTACATATCAAGATAACACTTGCTAGGTGATAAACTTGTCTGTTCTCTTGACCTGTTTGTATGATAATGTGATGGGAATTCAAGGAGAAGTTACAAGTAAATCTCTTCCAGGAGGTTAAAGGGTGAAATTGTGTATGACAAGCTGATCATTTGTGGAGGGATTGTTTGTCATTGTAAAAATGAAATAAAACTACATTTACAAATGTCAACATAATTTTTAATGTCAGTGGTAAATACACAAGTTCTCTATGATCATGTCTTTGCTCGAATTATTTACGGGGGGATTCCCCCACCCCACCCCCTTGTACTTATAGAACACAAATATGTTGAACTCTGTTGTTCAATGGTCCTTTGAATGTGGCAATGCGTGGAAAAATAATCATATTACATATTATTGCTTATATTGTTAAAACATCTTTGAAGTACAAGACTTCTGATACCCAAGACTTGAGGGCAACACTAGTAAATCTGGTACAATGAATATATGAAGTTCATATATTTTCTAGTAAATCTTTCCTTACCCAGATTTAGCCAACCAAACAATTTCTAGGGTTGTCTTGCATTACTGATGGTGCAAAGTGTGGTGAGCTTTAAAAATGTCTGCCATAAAAGACTAGCCCAGATGACAAAAAAACAAACAAATAAAAAGGACAAAACAAAAACCAAGTATGCCTAACTATGCTTGAGTTAAATGAAAAATTTAGCAGATGGTTATAATCATTATTCGGGTGATGGAACTACTACCAAGCACTAGTACCATTTACAAAGCACCAGTTAAAGGAAAAAGGAGTCCTGAAATACATTAAGTACCCATGGTACAAGAACATAATAATAACCCTTTGAATGTAGAAAAAAAACTATCTGAATTTTTCCATAAATAAAAGTAAATGAATGCTTTCATGTTTATAAAACACTTTTTTTACGTACATAGGAACAGAGGTATGTACCAATGCATGCTTGAATAAAGGAATCTGTTTTATAAATCAATCATAATTTACTTAAGTTTGAAATAAGATTTGCAACCTTTCCAAATAAGTCACAAAAATTGGAAAAATAGTTAATTTACTCAAAAAGCTATTATAATGTAATTATTATTAATAGTAAATGTAGTACGTATGTACACTTCACAAGTAATTTTACAAATTACTCATGAAAGTGATGCAATATAAGAATCTACAAGCAGCTCTTGGAAAAAATTTGAAAAATAGTTGATTCAACCTAAACAGCTGTAATCATAATTATCCTATTACTTAAAGTATATATGATGAAGTAATATAATGTCATGCTATTTAATACGTACACAACACGTTGAGTAATTTTACAAACTGCTCATAAGGGATGCAATATTATTCTATAAGACAACTCTGGTCCAGTTTTAAAAATCTTTCATTTCAAGCATATTCAAGAGTATTGTAAGGTGTCTTATTGTGTCCCACTGCTGCTAATAAAAGGGGTACTCTCATCCTCCTGCAATGAAGAAGTGGAGAAAAATTGAAATAAAATGCGTCAAGTTTTGGACTGCAAACATAATGTGGTGTAATCTGTGTGTAGTCCTGGACACAGTTAGTCAAAGTATTGTTCACTTGTCCCCAAAGAGAAGCATCCAATTTCTCCCGACAGTATCGCCCCCGCCGAATAAAACATTAAGGTCATGAGAATACAGAAAATGATAATGAACTCAAGAAGCTCTTGATTGTTAGACAAATTCTCCTTGTAAGTACGATAAGAAATTTATTGTACAATACAGTAGGGAGAATTAGCACACTGATGTTAGGGTTTAGGGGCTTAATTACTGGCAATAGTTCATCTTACACATTTATAAAAGGTTATTGTATGCTAGGATTGTAATTATAGTGTTTATGCCATCACATTGCCTAGGCTTTGCACTGACCTGATTATGCACGTCTTGCATAGTAATAAGACGCTGTTAAAGTATAGGAAAATTGATAATCTAATCATTAAATTGACAAACATTAAATGAGGTGATCAAGTGGTCAGTTTTAGTTTCTCTACAGTAAGAGTCATATATGCTGTATTACAGAGTTGTATTATAAACTTGAGACAGTTACAATAACTTAAATATCCCCCTAAAACTCTTCAATCATTGTTTAAATTGACTTCATTCTTATTCCCTTAATATCTACAATTACACTCTAATTCCTAAATTAATGAAAAATAAAGAAACTTTTAATACATGTAATTTTGGAGATCAGTGGCATGTTGGGGAATGTGAATCTGAATCTTGTACATACAAATGATCATTTTGTTGATAATAGTAGACTAATAGGGGAAGTGGTTGCAAGCAAGTAAAGCAGCTACAGTGTAGTGCTGCAGCCAGATTGCACAATTAGGGTACGGGTAACATTTGCTTATATATGTTGTAGTTCAATTTTATCCTTGGTTCAAATTTTATTTTCCTTTGTTTCAAACTCATTATCATACATTAACATGACCGAGAACAAAGGAAAATAAAATTTGAACCAAGGATAAAATCGAACTACAACATATATATGAAAGCTTTGCACCTATAGAACTAACACTACATACTGGAACTCCAGACATAAATTGTGTAAATTAACAGTGGATATGGAATGAGCATTAGAACTAACATTAATTTGGTTTCTGGCCAATATGTTGATCAGATATTTTTAAGTGTTCAAGTAATAGTTCTAAATAAGAAAAAAAGGCCAATCCATTTTATTTGTTTGGCTGTAACACAGAAAAGTCACTGTATGGTCAATAGATAAATTTAGTAGCAGTCAGTCAGATGTCTGTGTGTCATGTCCTTTATTGTTCTGTGAAAGTAAAACAAAGTAATAACCAGTCAACAGTTTAAATAGTAGCCCCTTAAAGGTGTCAGTTGTCAGAGACCTTGGTTAGGACTCACTTGATGACAATTTGCCACCTCCAACAGGTAACATTTGCTTATATATGTTGTAGTTCAATTTTATCCTTGGTGAAAAGGGGCTTTGCATGTACTGGTTCAAAAATTGCATTGTTGCCATCATTGCACAACGCAATTCAAACAATTCTGAATTTGTGGAAAGTATTGAGGGAAAAAATTTTGCCAAACACAAAAACTACTGTCACTTGAAGAAAAATGTTGCAGCAGGTTGTCCCATAAACATGTTGCCTTGTGTATTGTGGCCTTTCAATGAAATGTGACCTCCTGTTCTGAAATTTGAACCTCTACTTTTTTATAAGCAAGTATATGCAATGAAAACAAAGTAAAAAGAGATTTTGATGTTTACAGAATGTAAGGTCTAGGAAAAGGATCAAATTCTAGAGAAAAGTAAATAAATTACTAGTATGTAATATTTCCTTTTGAAAAAGTTCTACAAAATAATGAAGTAGCAGTACTCTCAAAGACTTTGTACAGTAACCAAATAACAGCATTAAAAGTGTAGATTATAAAACCTCTTTAAGGCAAACAAAAAAAGTACATTGTTACATTGATTACCTCTGTGGAATGACAACCATCAAGAGACGTGTTTCCAGATGATTTAGTGCCCCTTCCAAAGTAGGTTGAGAGCTTGGAATAGTCAAACAGCAAGGCTGGGTCTATTCTCTCAGTGTGATGTTTTTCTGCAATTGAAAAGTTAGATAGCTACATATTGGTAAGGGACATGCATATATGCCAAAAAAAAAAAAAAAAGGAAAGTATGAAGAAAGACAGAGAAAAAAAAATTAATACCAACACGAAAGGGAGTAAGGAGGAAAAGTTGAAGAGATACATGCATGCAAAATCTTTCTTCAGAAAATCTCAGGCAAAGTTTTAACCAGGCCTTTAAATCTCATGACCTGATTTTTAATTCCCTGTCTAGATGCTATACATTTCCTAATTTGTAATATCCTAATGAGAGTTTGGTGTTAGATCAACTTGTCAACTTTTACTTGATAAGTTTGAGTATTCCCACTACCTGTTTTCTGGATGATCGTAAAGATATTAATATTACAAGGAGGAGTTACATGTTAACCATGTCTCAATTGTTCCAGTATTTATAAAGAAACTCCTCACCAGACAGGTCTATTTACAGCAGCCACTTTGACAAACACCCAGAGCAACTCCATTAAGGCTAAGCTCTTTGTTTGACTCTCAATGACTCTTAATTTATTCATTTTCTCATCTATATTTATCTTAGTTTTGTTAATTCATTCTCACTTGATAATGACGTTCTGGAAACGTCGAAACGTCTTGTAATGTTTTCCAATATTTTATCGCAGATTTTTATTGTAAAAACATTTTGACAAACTCAGAAAATAACAAAAATCATGGTGAATGTCAATAGTTTACACAGGCAGGAGCTTCTCTTTACAAAAAGACCACCATGATAATTTTTGTTGACTTTCAGTTTTCACAGGCACACTATTCCACAGTAACTTACTAAATATGTAACTGGCAAGATATCCGATGATGTATGTGATAACAAATCCTATCAGACCATACCAAAAGAATGAGACCTCATAAACAGAACTGTGTTGTACCCTGAAAAGAAAAAGTCAATTAGACATTTTAATCACTACTGACCACTGGCCATGTTAAAGACAGGTAGCAAGGCTGTGCTCTAAGAAAAATTGAAGGGAGCCCAGTGCTCTGAAACTGTGAAATCCAGGGTGCCCAGCATATGCTTTATATGAAAAAACTACGTTTCCTGAGTCGCCCAAGAGCAAAAGTAAGGCACCAGGGGCCACCGGGCACTGCTACACCACAGCCCTGAGGTAGTGACAACTACATGTACAACAAATTAAATTTTCTTCCTTTTTTAAATTTAGTTGTTGCAGTGCTCTCAGCCCTTTAGCCTCTAAAAGTTGGGCAAGACAGTTGCACATTCATAGTTCCTATCCCTGTACAAGGGGTACCTAAAAATGTGTTGTGGGGAGTAAGGAGGGGGGATTGTGGGGAGGTGGGAGGGGCTACCTGTGATAAACTAAATATGTACTGAGGACTGGCAAAACTACAAGTTACTTTATGCTACAAAAACGGAAATAAAATTATTACAGAAATAGTGGTAGTGCACCACAGAAAGGTACTGGATTTAATATTTTTAGTTGTGCTATGGTTAAAAGGGAACTGAATGTATATGCTTCTGTTGTTTAAGGCTTGCTCTAATGGGCTTTTCAAAGTCCAAAATTTAAAGTGCACCTAAACCCAAAAATTTTTTTTCGCTTAACGAAATAAGCATATTTTTTGGAGTATTTCTGTGCAAACATTTTTTTATTTGCTCAAATCCTCAATTGTCTGTGCCCAGTCAAAATACGGAAAATCGGCCGCCATCTTGCCCCACGGCCGAGTTTAAAGAGGAATGGCTCTAGCGGGTAATGTGACGTCAAATCGAGAACACGAAAGTCTGCATTTCACACATTTTTGCTTGTTTGGGAAGGTTTTAGTCTATTTTGTCCGAAAATATGCCGACTAAGTGTGTTGTAGGAGGATGTAGCAACGTGCGAAATTTGCAAGAGGGTATCACGCTTCATACATTCCTCATACAACACACCTGGTCGGCATATTTCGGACAATATCGACCAAAACCTTCCCAAACAAGTGAAAATGTGTGAAAAGCAGACTTTCGTGTTCTCGATTTGACGTCACATTATCCGCTAGAGCCATTCCTCTTTAAACTCGGTCGTGGGGCAAGATGGCGGCCGATTTTCCGTATTTTGACTAGGCACAGAAAATTTAAGATTTAAGCAAATTAAAAAATTTTTGCACAGAAATACTCCAAAAAATAAGCTTATTTCGTTAAGCAAAAAAAAAATTTTTGGGTTTAGGTGCACTTTAATATCTTTAGTTAGCTATTCACCTTTGAGCAACGTGCATGCAATTTGAGCCTGTAATTGTTGCAGGAATAAATGAGTCAAAATAATCTTTTTCTGCTACATTAATTAATAGCTCAAGTTTACGAGTTACCTTTGGGCTGGCTCTATATATGACATATTAACATTACTAAAATTGCTTGGACAGCCAGATATAGACATGGGCTGAGTAGGGTACTTGGGCGGGTGAACTAGAGCTCCTATACTGATCCAGGTAACTGTCCAAAAACCAGCCACCACTCCAATCCACACACCCTAAATGCAACAACAAGAGCAACATATCTTAAACTGTTTTCAACTGCTCTGGTCAATAACAATCTGCAATCAGGGGAGTTTTCTATCAAATCTTTCTCATGCCATGTTGATAAATAAATGTACAAAGGATAAAAGGATTAATGTCAGTATCAGAGAAACTGTGCACCAACCCTTCTTCATTTACTCTAACTTGTTATCAGTTGACTGTCGTTGGGTTAGGGCAGGGTGCACAATTGTTCGTTGGGAGGGTGCACAATTGTTCAGGTACTAATCGACATTGATCTGGATAAAGTAAGTGGAGTTGCATAGTCAGAAATCTTTTTAATAACAATAATTGTAAGGTTTTTATAAAGCATTTAAGAATCTCAATGCACTTACATAGCATAATAAAAATAAAATATAACAATGATACTAACAGTCAGTAGTACCTACACTAACAAAAATAAAGTTAAATGGGATAAAAACCTATGTAGTGTTTAGCAATACTAAAAATAAAATTTCCGGAACAGGAGTGTTTTAAGGGCAGATTTAAAAGATGAAAGAGAAGCTGCAGATTTTTAAAGAGAATCAGTAAGAGTATTCCATAATGTAGGTGCACAGAAGGAGAACGCACATTCACCGTATGTCACAGAATTTATAGTGGGGACAGTAAGAAGTGATTTGGAAGATGAACGTAGCGTATGTGGTGGATGATATTCTTGTAGCAGGGACGACAAATAGACCGGAGAAAGTCCATGAAGAATCTTAGTCTATGAAGAATCTTAGTCTAGTCAGAGCAAAAACCTCCTCAACTGATTGTTACTGGCACCCTACATTAGGAGTTTTACAACAGGGATTTTGGCAGCCTTTTGTTTCAGTCAACCTGATGTGTTACTGCTAGTAGACACTAGTAAACAGAGCTGATCGCACGCTGCATTACCTTGGTGTTGGCATGGGTTGTCAACATACCGAGAGAAAAGAGGGCCAACATTGGGCCACCGGTAGTTCCAAACATTGTTGCACTCATCTGTAAACATTAATATGTTAATGAGCACACTACTAGGACATTAGTAACTGATAAGATAACAAGTAACATTATACAACTTACATCATCATAGACTTAATTGCCAATTCTATATACCGGTACTTATCATCAGTCAGATTTGCACTAGGGTGTGTCACCCACTAGTAGATGTTTTTAAGCCATTATAACTAAGCATAACCTAGCATCCTTAGAAAATAATGCTACCTTAGTTGGAGACAAAGAAGAACCAAATTTGTGAGGGGAGAAATTGAAATAATCTTTTTGTAGCGTGAACCATCAAATGAACATTTTGTAACTTAAGTCCACACACATGAGTGTGTGTAACAACACTGACCTGTAATATCATTCCCAATTTTGAAACCAGAAATGCCAGCCCAAGGGAAATGAGGCCATAAAAGAATACTATGAATTAAAAGAGATATAAAATTTATAATTCAGATTCACTATTGCCTTCTGATTGAGCAGAAACAAGGTCTGTGTATTATGGCTAAATTGTTGTAGACTTATCCTCAACTGTTTAACTCCTACGAGTGACCAAGACAGAATTTCTCCTCCCAGTTTCAATGTGATATTAAACAGACAAGTGACAAGAATAAAGAAAAATAAAATGTCTTGCAGTTTTCCTGAAGCTTGTGGAAATTCTAATTCCTAGGAGGGAAAAAAAAACACTTTTGGACAATGAGTCATTGTTACCTAACAATTTGGACACAAGAGTTTCTCTTTCTGTTGGAATGTGCTGCACCAACAAGGGAGCAAAGTCCTCCACTGTTACCGCTGCAAGAGCATTAAGACCAGATGCTACAGTGCTAAAAAAAAAGCAACAATAAAACTTTAAATAAACTGTCACTGGATTGTGCTGTGTAACAAATTCTTAGCCATACATGCGCAAGTATCTCAATCTCTTAACACTCCTGGAAATAAATAGTCACACTAAATTTTATTTCAAAATTAGGCACTTATGCCATCCCCTCTTCGATTTTTCTATGAAACTACATGTGGTTACACAATAGATATCTTTTAGAAGTATATTGAAATCTGATGTGACCCTTTCTTGTCTTTAATTATGGGAACATAAAATTCTAAAAGTTTTATCTGGTGTAGCATAAGTTCTGAGTAATACCTAAGAGTCCCACAGAACAATGAAGCAACAAAGACTCCAGGAATACCGTGGAACTTTCCCAGAACTTCAATCACAAAGTATGGCAAAATCTAAAGAAGACAGTGAGAAATATCAAGAGATAATTATATTTAACTTCTTACATCATAATATCAGTATGCACATTCTCCAAACTGTTCTCTGTATATTTCCTAAGGTGCTAACAAAGAGAGTTTGCTTCCTGATCAAGAGCTTATTCATTTATTCTGTCCAAACTCCACGGTCAAAGTTTTCTGTTTGTGAAAGCTAATCAGTTCTTTGCAGATCAAGAATTAAGTTAGCCTGCAGTGCCGGCCTATTTTGGGTGCATGAGTGCACATTTTCGTATTAGGCCGCCATCTTAGATTTGGTAACTGTGGAGGATTGGGGCGAGGAAATATTTGCCGAGGGAGTAGGTGTTAAGTGGAAAAATGGGCAATGGGGGAGGTATTTTTCCTTCCCCTCCCTCACCCCCGTTGCCCATTTTTCCACTTAACACCTACTCCTTCGGCAAATATTTCCTTGCCCCAAGCCTCCACAGTTACCAAATCTAAGATGGCAGCCTAATACGAAAATGTGCACTCAGGCACCCAAAATACGCCAGCACTGCAGGCTAGAATTAAGTAGCATTAGTTTACCTCGTCATCTGTGGATATTTCCCCAATACTTCCCGGATCACAAGAAGCATAGTATGCATAGATAACCAATCCTGTTAGGACCGTTACTGTTGTACTAAAGATGTTCAGGGGAAGATTCATCCACACAGCCCTATGAAAAGATAATTATTATTATTATTATTATTAGACAAATTACCTTCAGAATTTATGAATAATTCTTTACCTGTTATGTGTTGGCAATCTGTTTACATAATATTACCTAAGTTCAATCAGATAATTCTTAAAAAGAAAACATCTCAGTCTAAACACAATCAAAAGAAATAAATCATGCTTGGAATACTGTATTAACTGACAAGATCATTGTGCACAAAACTAGTTATATGGTTGTAATTATATTGGTCTAGAGTGTCTGTGGTAAAGAAAAATCAGTATTTTCCCAAGTAACTCAAGCTGTGATAAATCCTGCTTGCACTTGAGAATGCACCCGTAGTAAAATGATCCTAATAGGTGCCCTGGGTGGGAGGTGTGGTGGCCTGATGGATAGTGCGCTTGACTCCAGATCAAGTGGTCTGGGTTTGAGCCCTGGATGGGGACATTGTGTTGTGTTCTTAGGCAAGACACTTTACTCTCACAGTGCCTCTCTTCACCCAGGTGTATAAATGGGTACCAGAAAATTTAATGCTGGGGGGTAACCCTGTGATGGACTAGCATTTTATCCAGGGGGAGAGTAGAAATACTCCTAGTCACTTCATGCTATGGAAACTGGAGTTAAGCACCAACTGGATGGGCCACTTGGCTTATATACAGACTTTACCAAAAGGTGCCCTGCAAGGAAGCCTGGTAAATAATTTCAAGCTTTAACAGGATTTCAATGAGCTTCAGAGCAACTCACCAGTCTGTATCATTTCTTTATTTCTAGAAACAACTTTGTTTTTATACCTCTGAGCTGACTTAAAGGACCTTGAGGTCAGAAATCTTTGGACAGCTGTCTGGTTGGTTGCATAAACTGGTAGCATTTGAAATGCACCACCAATTAGGAAAACCCACAATGTGCTTCGGTGTGTCGGATCTATGGAAAAACTGTAGAGAAAAAAAGATCCTTGGCTGTAAAGAAACCATAATTATGGCTCTATGCTCTGTTATTTACAGGTTCAGTGCAATTTTTAATAGTGATCATAGTAATCAAGATTTGTCAACAAACTTACTCAAAATCAAGTCTGTGCCCCTTGTAAGCGATATCAAAAACTTTTCCCAGACTGCCAACCTTTATTGTTCCCACTGTAATAATTGTTGTCAGCCCAACTAACATGACTATGCCTTGGAACACGTCTGTCCATATTACAGCTTTCATGCCACCCTGAGGACAGTGTAATGAACAGTACAACATCATAAGTCTAAGCCCTGCCTACAAACATTTTGTGACAAGCATTTCACATTATGTGAGATCTCTCATATATGTTCACTACCATCACCCGTCTTTTCATACCCTGAGTCATTTTGAACCCATTTAGGTAATTTTTACCCAGTCAATTGAGTCCCTTCATGCCCAGCTTGGTTGTTTCATACCCATACTAATGAAATATGTTTTCCATGTTAAGTATGTTTAAAGTAAGGTTGGTATTAATGAATATTGGGACAGGTAATAAATGATCAGCGGTTTGGGTACATATATCAAACGGATTTGGGTACAAACTTACTCAAACTTGAGTACAAACCAACTAAATTTGGGTACAATAGAGTTGGGTATGAAATGACCGTGGGTACACAAGGCTGTGCTCTTAGAAAAATTGAAGGGAGCCCAGTGCTCCGAAACTGAGAAATCCAGGGTGCCCAACATATGCTTTTTATGAAAAAAAAACTAAGATTTTTGAGTCGCCCAAGAGCAAAAGTAAGGTGCCAGGGGCCACCGGGCGCTGCTAGACCACAGCCCTGGTACAAAAGAACCAGATACCTCCACTACTACTGTCACAGTAACCGCACTCTTATCTTAAGCATTTTAAAATTTTGGCTGGTTTTTGAATGTCTAATAAACACAATCTGTATGAAATGGCAAAAAAATTTTGATAGATGTTATGTTTCATAGGATTACCACCAATTCAATGTGTCTCTGATGGACTTGATGATGCCCAAATCAGTGCTGTACTATAAGGAAAATTGAATGGAGCCCAGTGCTCTGAAAGTGTGAAATCCAGGGTGCCCAGCATATGCTTTCCATGAAAAAACTAAAATTCCAGAGTTGTGCAAGAGCAAAAGTAAGGCGCCAGGGGCCACTGGGCGCCGCTAGAGCACAGCCTTGCAGATGGGTCTTGTTGTGTTGTTTGTTGGTCCCTGGATTAAATTAACCTCATGCAATTCTCAGTTGTATTGTGTCCTTGTAGATTCTCTAAATTATATATATTACAGTTACTGTAGATTTTTTGAAATGCTTTTCTCGAAGCCTTGTGAAAGAATTTTCAAGAGGCATATATCTGGATCTCTTTATTATCTGCCAGTTTTCTCAGCAACAAAATGATTCTTCAAGAATAAAAACAAAGAACTAACAAGGACTTACTACTGTGGTGTAGAAAGTGCAGACAAGACCAGTTACAACTGTAGAAAGCCATAGTGGAAAACCTGTCACTAAATATGCAAAATAATAAGTGCACAATCAGTGAATTACTATATATATTTTAAATAAACCACTCTATGCTCTACATATATAGGTATATTCAGTTGGTATATCTATTACTTTTTTACCTGATTCTAAGGTGAGTGATGGCCCATATAATACAATAGCAGTATACAAAACCTGAAAAGAGAGCAATTTCTTGAGATGAGACCAAAAATAGCATGACATACAGGTGATGAAAAATGACTGACGGAAAGAAAATTGGCCTAAAATTCCTGCATGTGCGATGTGCAAGTCAGGCTAAGTTTGTATTGGCAGTTTGTCTGCGCCAAAATTTTTCACGAGAAGGCACTAACACTGGTAACAACACTCTAAATGATTAATAACAACCTGCCACAGTGATACAGATTTCAATTACTGATGTACAGTATATGCTCTGCATAATCATGTACAAGTAAATAAGCTTGGCCAACAGATAGGATAATTATTTTAATCTTAATTCATGTTACAATTTCAACACAGCTTAATATCCTTTCAGTTTTACAGGACCCTTGTCACCTGGTAATGGCCCATTTATTCACCATGTAGTTCTCTGTGGCTCAGTGGTAGAGCATTAACCCTTTCAATCCCAAGATCTTCTTAGCAATTCTCCTTACTTTCTGCCATACATTTCTTATGATGTCAATTTGAAGAATTTGGTGTTCCATCAACCAATAGTCCCTTAATTAAAACTAATATTTCTTTATTCTCTTTACTTATCTGCTTGGTATGGTAGTGATGATGTGAGGAGAAACTATGACTTGATCGCTCATGAGAGTTAAAGAGTTACGGAACAGAACCTGTAAGGTCTGAGGTTTCATTCTTCTTGAGGACTCATTGTTTTTGTCTTGCAGCCAAGACAAGGCAATAAATATGTTTCCTTTTGGATCAATTAATTGATTTGACATTGCTACCACCATAACTTATTCAATAACTTGCATTATTAGACATTGTAGTCACCATCTGTCTTCTCATTGGCTAAACACCCACAGTTAATTCTGGGAAACAGCACAACCTACAGATTATTCACTAATCTGTACCTACAGATTAATGCATGATTTCTTGTGGAGCAATGTCAAGTTCACAGACAGCAAAGTAAGAATGGCTTCTCGATTCGCTTCATCTACCCAGCCAGAAATTGAGAAATTACTTGAATATAAAGATTCCGAAAATACTAAAAGATCGACAAAAGTGGAAAAGGAACTGTTCAACGAATATATTGGATATATCAACAAAGTTGAAATGGTAAATTGGCCACTGTAATGATTACAAAAGCTGATGTTTCGAGTGTTAGTCCTTCTTCGGAGCGAATAGAGGAATTGTGGGTTGTGTGTGCTTGTAAAGGCAGAAAATGGAGTTATGTTATTGGTGGGAACATGGCAATGGCAAAAACAAGAATGAATTAATGGAATGAAAATATTTTGTTGATCCCTGTCGGATTTAGACTACCAGTTTGAAAGATGAGCTTTTGTTCAAGATTTTTGTGGCTTTCCGTGCTACCTAAGTGTAAGGAAAGACTGCAGATTGCCATATGTTGCTTAGAATGAATAGGGAAATTAAAATGCGTAGCGACTGGTTTCGATGTGTCCTTATCATTCCTTTCCACGTCTCGAAGGTGTTCTCGGAATCGGTCACCTAGTCCTCTGCCTGTTTCGCTGATGTATATCTTTTTGCAATAAGTGCAAGTTATGCAATAGATTACATTGGCGGAGGTGCACGTGAAGTGATCGGTGATCTTAATGGATCGTTTAGGTCCCGATATTTTATCAGTGTTGTGAATGAAAGGACACGTTTTGCATCGTGCACGAGCGCATTTAAAAGTGCCTGGTTGGTCATTAGTCTGAAAAGAACTTCTGACCAAAAAATTGCCTATGTTTTTGTCGCGTTTGAATGAAATGAGCGGAGGCTGCGAAAAGATAGTGCTTGTCTCTGGATCGTTTTGAAGTAATTTAAAGTTTTTAAGAATGATGGATTTAACTGAGTGGTTGTGAGGGTGAAACGTGAGAGTGAATGGAATGCGGTCGGAATCTTCCTTATGCGACGTTTGTAGTGCTGAATGTCGATCAATAAGTTGGGCGCGGTGGTAACCNAAACGTCAGCTTTTGTAATTGTTATGGTGGCCAATTTACCATTAATTTTTCAACTTTGTTGATATATCCAAATTATTTCATAACCCCCACCGATGCAGCCCCCTAACACTTTCTTTCAAAACTATCAGCCTTTGTTCTATGAATACCTTAAAGAGAAAAATATCCAGGAGCCACACGACAAAAAGGAATAAGCCCAATTGAAAATTTGTTTACCACACAGTTGTACATTTTTTAAGTGTTCAAAAATAAACTGTGTTCACTGCGATAATGCAATTGGCGTTATTTTCTTTAAAACAATGTATAATAAAACAATTATTGGATTCAGCTTTTGTGATGTCTGGAATAATCAAGGTCTCAGTGTTATCAGCTTCAGCCTTCGGCTTCGGCTGATAACACTTACCTTGCCCTTGATTATTCCGGATATCACAACAACTGAATCCAATAATTGTTTAAAGCTGGAAGAAAAAGACAAATAGATCTGACTCGTAAATGCCAAAAACTCAAATATTTACTTACTGTTTGTATAACAAACACTACAGATCCTAACATCCTCACACTGAAGGAGAATCTTCTTTCTAGATACTGAAAGCAAATGTTGTTGAAAAGCAATTAGTCCCATAAAAGTATATTTTGTAAATGTGCCAGACTGTCAAACTAATCTTGATGTCTGAGTACATTTTGAATGACACTGTAATAAGCCGTGGACAGAGACAGCAGACAATGAGAATTAAAGCACGTGTTGTTTAACGGTGAACTGAAAACAGAAGATCAAAACAAGCCTGCCAAGACTGACAGGTAACATGCGTGACGCGTGACGCGCAACAACACTATCATGACTTTTACTTTGGGTATAAGTTATTTGTTAATAAGTGTTCATATTTCATTCAGATTTAGAGTGAACTGTCTCAAAAGTTTTAATTTATTAGAAAACAGTAGTCAAACAACTGTGTTGACATGTTATAAAATATTTGGTTCTTATGTCAGCTGTGCATTCATCCAGATATGAAGTGCTTGGAAAGTTTGGAGAGCACTCAAGAAGCTCAAGTTGCTCTTGGCTGCCCCTCGAGCAATTCTTATGCATCGTTGGTGCTCTTCAAACTTTTGGGGTCCTTCTTCCCTGTGAACTTAACTTGACATATGAACCAATTGTTAATCAAATGAAGAGTCAAACAACAAATATATATGAAATACATATATATGAACTGCGGTTATGAAACGTATACGTGCACGATCCTTCGCAGTAAAGCACTATTTAAGCAATAGTGAAAATAGTGCTTTACTGCGAAGGATTGTGCACATATACAAATGAAGAGTCTAAGGAAGGCTAAATGGAGGAAGGGAAGCGATATTTCAAAGTCTAGAACTCCAAATTTTGTGCCAATCTTGTTACTAGGGTCACAAACTTAGCCGTAAGGAATTCTTAACTCATATCCTGTAATTGGATCGGTTAGCTTCTCTACAAGGGCGGTATAGTAACAATAGTCGCACTGGAAATTTGGGGATTTCTTCATAGAATCGCACAAATTGTAAAGATTTGCTATTTAATTTGTTCATAAAGGATATCATTTAAAAATTTCGAATACCGTACTTAAATTACCCTGTAAAAAACCTTGCTTAGAATTCAAAGATATTGTGCGATTCAGTTCCATTATTCAGCGGCGAGTTGCATAACCAGGCCGAAATAAAAAGATATATATTTTATCCCTTCAAACTGAGCTACCTTGGAATAGACTCACCGACATAGAACTTTACAAGAGAGAAGGTTAACAACGTTTGTTTAGTTATTTCAGAATGAATACATGTCGAGTAATTCTACTTTCCGATGCCAAAATGATATAAAAATGTGTACGAGAAAAAGAATTCAAAACGAATGTTACTTGCTCACGACAGATGATTACAGCAAGTAAACATTTTTACACAATGAAAAACGATGAATACTCTGTTTGTTCAAGTGTTCGTGGTACACTGTGGGGTTACTCAAACACATTAAAACTTGTAGGTGGTATATAGACTTGAAGAAAATAATTCGAAAAATAAATTTCACACCTTCAAATTGAGATAAACTGGAAATTTGGTACTAGGCGATCAGTCCAAATACGGCGGAATTTATTAATGACATGACAACCCACCTCGTAACTACTGGTCAAACGAAGGTTATAATACACAGGTAAGAAAACCAACGCCATGATTGGTACAGAAATAAAGTTCGTGAAGGATTGGATCCAGTACTGAAAGCCATACGTATAAACTTCAGCTGGATTTCCTAGAATCGCGATGGACGAAACAAAAGAAGCAAGGACGGAGATGGCAACCGGTATGCTAGCCATACTTCGACCAGCCATGAGATATTCGTTGTTATTTTGCTGTGCTCCACCGGCTCTAGAATAGAATATTCCAATACCCATAGATGCCAGTAAAGTTAGAGTAAATACAACGAAGTCCGCCACGGTAAAATGTGCGTGAAGCGCCATGGCGGTAAGATTGTAATAACACGACGATAAAATTTGTTTTTCTTCAAAATTGAGCCTCCTGATATTGAAGCCAGCGATTAAAATAATTGGATTAATTACTTTATGTAACACCATGTTTGTGGTTTATTCAACATGGCTTCAAAACTGAGTATTTCTGCTGTGAATGAGCTCGATTACAGATATTTTATCCGCAAGTTTGGCAATATTGTCGATGAAACGAAACTATGTGCAGCAGCTGTATGCGCTAGGAGACCTTTTAGGTCATTTGACAACTTCGTGGAGGCGATATGCCAGTTTATCAACGAGCTTCCCAAAGATGGAAGAGCAGGTATATTGCGCAACCATCCTGATTTGGCTGATCGTCTAGAATCACTCACTCCCGAATCCCAAAGAGAACAAACACACGCTGGTATCACAACGCTAACAAAAGAAGAGATTCAAGAGCTAAAGCATCATAACCAGCTTTACAGTGAAAAGTTTGGATTTCCATTTGTGATTTGCGCTCGTTTAAACAACAAAGATGCAATACTGGAAGGAATAAAAACTCGCTTAAATAATGACGGTGATCAAGAGCTTGAGTGCGGGATTGAAGAAGTAAAGAAGATCATGGTGCTAAGGATGAAAGATTTGGTTGAAAGCGAGGACTCTAAATTATGAAAAAACTATTAACTATATATATTTATTGTTTGTAAAAAGGGTAAGGAACAGAAAACAGTCGTTTGGGCAAGAGTACCATATAACCCCATACAATAATTATGCATTCAGTCTTTGTTCAATTAAAACAAGAGCGAGAACACTAGAACTCCGCAGAGACTAATAGTCTTTGTTTTCAAAATTTGAATTTTTTTTCCAAGTCTTTTTTGAAACAGGGTAAATTTGGCGCGTTTTGGCTTTGCAAAACGGAAAACTCAAGTAATTTTCCAGAGGTTTTTAATTTTGAAATATAACTGACTGTTCAGTTTCGCTTTGAAAGCGTAAAATTGGCCGGAAAATAACGTTAAGTCTAAGGTCAGGCTTTTAAGTTTGTCAATGCAAAGTTTAAATAAATGTTGTGTCTTACCTGTTCTTGTGGTTTCGGTTGATTCTTTCATTATCCTTTCGTGTCCTAGTGATGAAAATTGTTCGTGAAGGCCGGTGCATACAGCGATGCAAAGAAACCTTTGTATCTAGTCTTTTTGGACTTTATAAAGTTGGGCGATATGTTCGATAATGTTTCCAAAGGGATCGTTTCAGTAGTGCTGACGCCACATATATTCTTGTAGGTAGCCATCGAAAAGTCCTTTGGATGTTCCTGTTGGGGCAAACCTCGCTTGATTCCCCACCATGTATTTTCGATACCCTGTGAGTGCGCACCGGTGAATTCCGGCGCATTGAAGCCATTCCATCGCAACCCTTTTTTGAACATCGCCACTCGTGCCCGTCTCGCGATGAAGCACGTCGCGACCAGCTAAGTTCATTGCTGCACCCATCTCGAGGACATTTTACCGACGTCGCAAGCAGGTTGTGATCCTTACACCACTGTATGCACCGGTCGTGATCCGATAATATTCGAGAAAGTCGAATAAAATTCAGTCTCCATCTCCGCGCTCCGAGTTGTTGTTGTTCTTCCTTCTATCTTCTTCTTTCTTTGATGTTATTAGAAAGAGGTATGAATAAATTTTGTTTTCTATGTGGTATTTGGCCAATCATAGAGAAGAAATGCATTCTTTAGTGCAAAGGGGAACTTTGGTGCATTATATCAATGCACATATTGTTATGAAAATTATTTTACTGAAAGGTAAAAAAAAAAAAAGTAACTTTTGGAGAAGAACTCCTAACTGGTTTGCGCAGCATAGTGGTAAGGCTATGGTTTGATAATGGTCTGATAATAACGCGTTGTCTGAGGAGCGATGGTTCAAGGCTCAGCAGAACTGCCAAGAAGGTAAAAAGGAAAGAAAAGAAAAGAAAAAAAACCCGAGGAGAAGTTAGGGGAGAAGGGAGAAGAACGTGAGAAAGGAATGGAGACGAAAAAGCCCCTTTCAATCATTTCTCTTTTTTGAAGCAGTAAGTACTTATTAGCAATGTGTATATGCTAAACCCATGGGAATAAGTCATTGTCTTAAAAAACAATGGGGTGCATACATAATTAATGAAATTGAATACAAAATCAATGTATGGGGTTATATGGTACTCTTTCCGGCAGTTTAAATAATTCATACTTGGTCAAGGAGACATAATTTGATATTTATATTGCGAAAATTAACATGTGGATATGATGAAATGCGCATCACAACACCTTTTGGGGGCCGGACTGCATCAGCAGTTTACAAACAATCGAAGGAAACTTATTTGAAGATGCACCCTCCCCCCCAATTCCCAGTAAACAGGCCAGACCACATCACAGTAATCTCATGAGTGGGTTCTTTAACGTCCCCTGCCTAACCAAATTAACTAATTAATAGATGCAGGAGACAGGACCTACGTTTTATTCGTCCTTATCCAAGAAGACTAGAATGCCTATCCATTTCTTGATATTCTAGAAAGGTAGTGCATTCTCCTCAGTTATTTTAAGACCTTGAGTGTTGGTCCGGCCGCGGCTCGAACCATCGACCTAGACCTCCCGCGCAACAGTCCAGCGCTCTAACCAAGTGTTCAGTGCTGGATCAAACCATTCTGCTGTATAGGCATTGGTGTTTCCTCCAATAAAATACAACTTTCCCTGACAATACCCTAAACTTTGACTACAAAAATATCTTGCCAGTCTGTACCATTGCTTTGTTGAGGGTAGGTAGCATATTGTCAATCTCTCTTCCCAAGCTACAATAGCATCTTCATGTGTTCTCAGACAATTCCTTGGTGCCTGAGCGAAAAAAGATTCTAGATCTCTTTGGATCATCATTCTCATCATAGCATCTAAAGCGAAGTTTGCGCAATCAAGATTATTCTTTACCATAGGATCAGATATAATAACTTCTACGAAGAAGTCACGTGGCAAATACATAAATCGAATGTGACGAAACAATACGGCGTCAAAGCTTTGCTCTTGACTTTTGTTTGTTGTGATCCAATTCCTCAAGATTTGAAACACTTCTTCCTCTCCACGTACGTTTATTTCGTCACTGGAGATCCACTACAAGAATTTCCTTTTGCTCAAATTTAGAAAGTCTTCCGTTTTCGCTACGGTGACGAAGTTTTCTAGAATGAAAACCCTCGCGCCTTTCATGAGCTCTTCGCACTGGTACTTCACGCTTAAATGGTAAGTTGCAACGCAGTGGGACAGAGACAGTCCTCGTAAAATAACTTGTGCACACAAATCCTTCAAGCTTGGTATCATGAGGTAGTCTGCCACAGCCAATAAATCACAGGCGACTACTTCTCTCACATCTACATGTCCTTTGTACATATACTTCAAAACTTCCTCCATCACCTCTTTGCTGGTTTGTTCCAATCTGATAACGCCTTTTTTCTTTTCTTTCATTTCACTGTTCAAAGCATTGTTAAAGAACGGACTTCCTGCACATATCACTACTCTGTGCGCTTTCAGACACGCCAGATCGTCGCCGGAGCCAACTTTTAGAATCACATCGCAGAACTGCTCGTTCTCCCTCTGTATATTGAGGCGGTTCATCATTTCCACGCAGAATAAATGCTTCTCAGTCTCTGCAACTGGTTCTTGATGGAATGGACAAGTGAGTGAATTACACGTAAAATGCTGAAGCACACATAATGGACTAAGTATGATGTCCGTATCTTTTTTAGCGTTTTTATTAATGAATTTGAGCGCCATAATTTATCGCTCAAGTTGTTCCTTTTTTCGAACGTAACTTTTGCTTTAATAATTTGCATACAACCGGTCCCAGAGGTCAGCAACCATTACTGTCTTTTCCTTGGACTATGCAAACGGCTTGTGCAGTAGTCCGGTTGCTTATATTAGGTGGCGATGTCGAACTAAATCTTGGCTCAGATCAACACAGAGGAAAAGCACATCGTTCTAAGATGCCCTGCCTGCGAATAGACAGTAAAGAGTAACAACAAACGTCTTGTATTCACTGTTTGCTTTAATCAAACACACGAAGCGTGTACGGGTATCGGTTCCTTCCTCAAAGACACAGAGGGTTCAATTCCTCGTGACTGGATTTGTTACAAATGCACTTTAATTCAGCTTCCTTTTTACAATGAAAGACTAACTGATTTCACTGTTCAGAGCTTACGAGACGCTGTAGAGGTCGGAGTTGACGCTCCTGACATCATGGTAACGTGAAAGAATCCCCTGCTGCTGGAAGTGCACGAGTCTCTGAGCGATCCATTGAGCTCAGCACGATTTTGCAACGTTGTGATAACAACGTAAAAATCGCTTTCTTAAATGTGAACTGTGTGGCTGGCTTTAAATTGTTTCAGGTGGAGTCACTGATACTCGAGGCACCTTCAATGTTTTTGTACTTGCTGAGACAAAGATAGATGGAGCTTTCCTTGATTCACACTTCTATATCAAAAGGTACAAGATGTTCCGTAAAGATCGTAATAGATTTGGAAGAGGTCTCCTTGTTTAAATTGGAAGAGGTTTGATCACTCAAAGAATTAATCATCTGGAAGGTAATCATATCGAATCGATCGCTCCGCTGGTGCAGCCTAAGAAGTCATCGAAGAGAACACTGTTTCTGTGCGCGTACAAACCACCAAAATAATGTAACCAAACGTCTCGGTGGGAATCGGAGGTCAACTCCCTGCTGTTTAATGCCTCTCAGCGTTATTACAACCTAGTGATCCTTGTTGATCTAAATTGCGATATCTTACATCCGGACAGAGGATCCAGGGAGGGAAGAGCCTTACTGAACTACTGAACTTAGTGATCGAATATAAGATGACCAACTTGATTAGGAAACCCACGAGAGTGACTGCAACAGTCCACTACTCTCATCGACGTAATCCTGACTTACAGGCCTCGGTATTTTTTAACGTCTGGCATGTTAGATATCTATGTTATTAACCAAGCGCGAGGGCACGGTACTGGGAGAATATCGGCCCAAGGTCTTGACAGTACGGACCAAGCGCAGCGAGGTCTGTACAAAAAAGACCGAGGGCCGATATTCTTCCTGTACGGTCCCGAGAAAGCTTGGTTAATAAGAGATTTATCATACGACTCAAGTTCCAAGGGACACAAGTGCAGTATCATTCGGGACCATTCGGGACAGTGCCCGGTCCAATACTGAGAGAATATTGACCGGCAATAGAGCATTTTGATTGGTTGATTTTAGTTATTGGCCCTCTGACTGCCC